AGTCGATAATATGGGTATCGATAGCATACTTTTTTAAATGTATCAATATTTTCGAAAGTACTCAACGCTATAAAATACATACGAAGGGAAAGTAAATATTCTTTTAAATATATTCGGAGAAAAATATAATAAAATAACACAAATATTTGGTGTAAACGCAGAATATTTTGTGAATGCTTTATTTCCAAATTAAAATTTTACTACACCATTTTTATAATATTCTCTAATTGCAGCTTATTATAATAAGATTAGATTAGATTAGAATATGAGGTTTTGCACTGCGACCTAGGGTCTATTGTGCCCATTCCTCCATCACATGCATTCCCAGCACCCTGAAAAACTCCAAATACTTGCTGGGTGCTATTGAGGCAATGTGATCCCTGTTCACATATAATAAGGTTTGATTAGCGGCAATATATTAATTTAGTTTAAGTCGACATATTTAAATTGTGTCAATAAATTTGAATTATTTAAACTAATTTGATCGAGCTTTGATGTTTTATCTCAGATAACATCTTTGCTTTGGGTGCTACAAATTACAATAAATTAGAGACAAGAAATGTGATTGTGGAATTTTCATCTTTATTTAATTTTAATGTGAAATTTAGGAATGAAAGAAGATTAAGAAGAAATCATAAATGTTATAAAAAGAACAACCCCGGCGAACCAGAAAGCTATAGAGAGTGTAAAGTATACTGGTTTCGTGATTCAATGAATTTTTCAGTGTCCATACACTGAGCATGTTTAGTTCAGCTAACTTTGTATTTTTACAAAATAATGACTAAAAATAATCATTTAGGAAATCTCATCAGAACTTTCATAAGCCTTTTCATTAATATTAAATATTAAAAGGGTACCCTAATACTTAGGTACGCGTGTTTAGAAAAGTATAAATATCCATTGTACAAATCGAATTTTTAGTACACTTAACTAACATATCTAAATATACATAAAAACACAATAACTTATCTAGATTGTGACATGTGAGTTGACGTCATCGTCATGTTTACATTTCAATCGATACTATTCAATTGGACTTATTGTAGTAGACCAAGCAGACACAAATCAGAATTCATAACAATTTATTCATTAATGTCCTACAATGACTTGGCATTGAAGCCAATTACCTTTTAGGTATTCAAGGGTACTTAAGTTCTTCAATGACATTTGTGGCAGAAATTTACTGCAAACGGTTACTGCAAGAGGTCACTTTGGGAAACTTTTAGGTATGTACGTAGCTTTCGGTGTTGCTCTAGGTTAAAAGCGCTTCTTCAAATTGAAAGTTTCGTGCATTAATGGTAATTGAATGCATTTATTTTCAACACTTATGTACATCTTAAAGAGTTTATTAGAAAAAGTGCTTGAGCGTTGTTTACTTTGTGATATTAAATAAAGGGTCTTTACTAAATAAACAAACAAAAAATCGCCTTTTATATACAATATGAGACACTGTTTTTTTTTTATTTATTTATACTTGATCTAAATTTATTCGGTATATTTTTCAACACAACATCAATCCAGGGACCACATTTTTGGATACATCAAAATTCACTCTATTTGCTTTCCATTATTTTTTCAAATATTCGGGTGTTATGTCTTCTTCTTCGGAATAAATGCTGGCTTGACCTTATCAATGGTTCGAGGATTGTAGATGACACACTACTATTCAAAAAACCACGGCAAAATATGTCAAGGGAAGCTAACTCAGGAGATCTGTGTGCCCGTTTAATGGCTGCCCTTTTTATCATCAAACTTTCGGAATTTCTTCTTCCTCAAACTGCATAGCTTGATTCCCATTATGACAAGGCTAATCGTCTTATTGAAACTAGTAACTGTCAGGATCTTTTTCTCCCACAGTTGAGAGATATCAGATATAACGTACAATAGCCATCGATATTGATTTCCATCTTTATATTTAATGAAAACCACAGAAACTAAAAACCGAAAATAATCAAAAATATCGTTATATTACACATACATATATACATAGGAATTAGGTGTGGATTATACTATGTGAATTTTTTTACTTTATAACCAGGCTTATAGCGTATCCTAAATGTTAAGCAACAGAGTTAAAGTATAAAATACAAATCTGGGCATACTTATATCGTATATAATCGCACGATCATTTTCGCAAGTGGGGGAATATAAATTTTTATGCCTTAAATTAATGGAAATTGTATTTTATGAGAAGTTTTTTTATAGCAAGTCTTTGGCATTGTTTGATGAAGAGCGACCGCAAGTAAAAAATAAAACTTTTTTCGTGCGTGTCGGTAACTACACACTCACACCATATCGGCCTCAGATCTTAACGATTAGATTATGAATAATATAAATTTTCTACATTCCACTCCTTTCTTGTTTAAATGTTAAGTGAGCCAACAATAAAAAAAAATCTCATTATTAAAGAAATTAAATAAATCTGAACTCATTTACTTTCCTCAAGCACTTGTCCATTTAACTAAATTCCTTTTCGCTCCGGTTCCCTAACGCTTTTATTGTATAACAGCGCAGCTCAAATCAAATCTTAGCATTGTAATTAAATTCCATTGTGTTGCGGGGAAGACGGGGTTCATTCGGCTGAATAGCATGAAATCGCTTTGGATTTCTTGTACAATAACACAAAATCCAGAACAAGCAACGAAAAAATAATAAGAGTATATTCTGAAGTAGCTTTAATCTAGAAAAACAATAATAATAATTATAGTGGTCAGTCTTTTCTTACTTTGGCCTCCTTCATTGGCTGTGCGCCCTTTCCACTTTTCTTTATTTTTTCTTCGCAGTTCCTTTCATCGTCTTGTATAGTAACGTACTCATACAAGTATCAGCTAACATTCGCAAAACATGCATTACCACACTCTTTTATTGCTCGTTTTGTTTCTATCTTTCGGATTGTAATGTTACTTTTTTACTTGTGGCTCTTCAACTCGAGTGTTCTTATTCGCAAGTAACTGCTGTGCAGTTGTGGGTATTTTTCAACCGACATCATCTGCTGCCTATTTTCATCTAGAAATGTGCTTCGCTTACTTGTATGAATACTGTTCGTTTCCGCATGAATAGTAAGCGCTAATAAATAGTTACTTAGCGCTTACAGACATTTTGCGGTATTTCATTTAAATGTCTTGTGAAGTTTTAATTGACTTTTGGAACGCATTGAAAATATTATACTATGGTAAACACATTATACAACACAAAATAACGAAACTACTCTTATCTTTGGGATTTGTTTTTGTGAGGCTATTTTTTTAATGCACTGTTAAAAACCTGTTCTCTACGCACTAATCACTTGCCCGATATTTGTCTGGCTCGTGATGGAGTCTCATAGATTGACTAGCAAAAAAATTTAATGAGGTCTCACTTGGGCGAGAAAAGGTGAACTTGACGTCAAAAGGATAGATTTTGCATGGCCCGCACGTTATTTTGCGGAAAATAAAGAAAAATCTTCTACATTATTATACCTTTTGTAATTACATTCAGTTCTAGGCGAACATGGAAAGTGTTAATACGCCCAGGTTAGGTTAAGTTATAAGGTTGAACAGGGATATCACTTGAATAGTTTAGAACGCCGGTCCATTGTGATCCCTAAAACTCCTACATGGGCGGGTGGTCGACCAGTGCCTTCCAAGCCCACGCGGTGGTCCAGAGCGATGACAATGGAGATCCAACTCGTTCCCATTCCGTTGTGAGCGGGGCAAGGGTACCTCCTCTGGCTTATGTTATTGGCTTTGAGATTTCGCTACGACCAGGCACCCAAACGAGTCCGATGATAAAGTAACTTGATGGTATTTCTAGTAAGGACAGACACTCCTTGACTAGCTTAGAGTCTGCTGTCAGAGTGAATGCTCAACTCATTGAAAGAGGTTGCATCTTGTTGCAGTATGTCTACTGCCACGTTAATAGCATTCATTTCTGTCTGAAAATCATAGTTTCTTTGTAATTGTCGAATTAGGACTTCAAAAAATATTGGTATTAAATGTGTAAAAAGGGAATTGAAAAGAAATTAGTTGATTGATTAACTGTCAGTTGTTATTGAGAATTGGAAGAACATTGAAATAATGCATCAAGATAATCGTCTGATGGATAGGGTGATATAAAATTGGTCTCAATAGGTTCAAATGTATTGCAATTCATATTTCTTAAGGGTACACTTCTGGAGAGCTTTTTGATTGGCTCTAATTTTTCCTTTAAAATTTCTTGATGAGTGCAGATCTTCATGGATAATTCTATAGGAATTGCCAATGAGTTCTCTTAACAATACTTTTTGTTTACCTTCTATTTTTTGTTTTTAAATACATGTCCTATCGGAATTTTTTTCAAAATTTATTTATTTTAGATATATTTTGAGAGTTTTCTTTTTAATTAATATCGTCGATAGTTTTTGTTCAGTTGCAATTTCTGGCTTTAAAAATTTTATACTTATTTTTATTGTTTTCAAATATGAGTATGTGTCGTTACCGATATTTTTTGCCCTTTTCGAGTACTATTTTCGACAATTTTTGTATACCATTACTTTTGCTAAACAACAAAAAAAATTCAGGTATAATAGAAAATTGTTCAAATATGAGTGTATATTGTTATCGAGTTTTTTTTTTAATATTCTTTATACGGATTTTTTCGATACTATTGTCTACCTTTATTTTTGCTTTTAGAAATACATAAAAATGCGAGTATAATTAAAACAGTTTTCAATTATGAGGATGTCTAGTTTCTTTCTTTTCTTCAAAGTGCTCTTTATGAGTACTATGTAAATTAAAATTTTTAAAATACATGAAAAACTAGGTATAACGAAACCTTTTCTAATATAAGTACGTTTCGTTAGCGGTATTTATTGAGATTACCATTTTTGAGTACTATTATCGATACTTTTTGTTAAACTATAATTTTGGCTTTTAAAAATTTATAAAAAGGAAAGATTAATTATAATTTTTTTTTTAATATAAGTATCTACCGTTATCGTAACGTAATATTTTTAAAAGAACAATTATGAAATTTAAACTCACCGAGAATGGCACGCAAATGTCCCTCCAATGTTTGCAATATCGTCTGCTTGATCTCCTTGACGCTCTTGCCCAGAAACTGTTCGCTGGCGGTGCCCAATAATTCGTCAGCCTGATGGTGAAAATAATACACGTTCATCATCTGCGCACAGGCAGAATGTTGTTGTTGTTGTTGATGTTGAAAGGAGATATGTGGATGAGTAAGGGTGTTGGTTGGTTTTTGGTTTTTTGATTGATTGGTAGTTGTTTTTGGTTGTTGGTGGTTTATGATGAAGTTTTTAGATGGTTGATTTTACATTTTTGTTTTTGTTTTTGGATTATAATTTTGTTGGTAACAGCAAAAGAGAGAGAAGAAAAAAGGAAAGAAACATTTAAAAGCTGAACAACGGTAATTGTAAAAGTAAAACAACAAATTACTATACAACAATTTATTACGATAAGTTAATAATAGGACTATAAATACACAAAATTAGAGGAATTGATTACATAAAAATTTTAGTCACAATGAGCGAATGACAAATGTGAGTATTTGTTTTTGTAAATGAGAAGCACCAATTAAACAACGCAATGGACACTTTTACAAATGACCTCGATAGATATATGGTATGTAAAATAAGTGAAACACAGTTATTTCGTCACAAATGACAATAATAAAAATTTATCATAACCATTTTTTACGTACAATAACAACAATATATAGAGACACATGAATCATAGTAAATGTGATATGAATTTTTACAAATGCAGATGAGATTGTCAATCATCTTTACAGCATATCTACTATATAAGGACCGTTTTTTGTAAGCGAGTGTGAATAGAACGCTGCACTTACTTAAAATTTTATCTAAGAGATTTATCAAATGACAGCATTTTTAGTTTCTTAAATATTCAAATGTGCGGTAATTTTTACAATCCGAACAGGGTTATAAAGTTTACCTTGAAGTTAGTAACATCAAGAAGGAGACACTCTATACATTGTGACCAGAAAGTTTCAGGAAATTGTCATTTAAACTGTCCGCGCTAAATATTTTCCAGCACTTTTCTTTTGTTAAGTTGGTAGCACTGCCCTTAATTACTATGCCAAAAATGTGTCAGTCAGTCGACCTTAGTAGTGTTTTGCGATTTTTACAATGGAAAAAAATATTGTACAGAGAATTTGCATCAAATTTTGTGCTTCGAACCAAATTTCGTGTGCGGAATCGTTGAGAAAAGGAGTATGGTGAATCTATTCTATCGAAAACCCAAGTCTACGACTGGTACAAAGCTTTTAAGGATGGTCGAGAAACCGTTGAAGACATGCCTCGTTCCGGTCGTCCTTCGACGTCTACCACTGACGATAACATCAAAAAAGTGAAGGAAATCGTGCTCGAAAATCGCCATGCAGCTCGTTTGATAATTTGAGCATGTGACGCGTCAATGCTCGGCTTGTTCTAAAAGTGCTGAATCGCCATCGCAACTAACTGTAGTTGTGAACGATTTGAAGACCAAAAACTCGTTCAATAACGATTAACCATCAGTTAATTGAGATTGAGGCCGTAAAAGAAAATTCGCAGAGGGAACTGAAGGCGATCCCGGACATCGCCTACATGGCATGTTTCGATGATTGGAAAAAGAGGTGGCATATGTGTATCGCTTCAGAAGGAGCATATTTTGAAGGCGGCAAAATAAATATTGATAAAGATTAAAAGTTTTTCATTTTATTTACAATTTCAGGAAACTTATGTCCGCCGGTCTGTAAATACGCGAACCAGTCCCTCAGTTTTTGAGATATCGAACTGAAGTTTTGCAAACGTCCATTAACTCACCAAGTGTGCATTTGTATGGACTACTTTTTTAATCAAAACCAAAATTTTTCACATTTTATTGTCCAAAGCCGATGTCCGAAAAAATTGTTCAGATCGAATCACCATATAGCTGCCATACAAACTGAACAATCAAGTGACAAGGTATCTTAAGATAAAGATCTTTTTATACTCTTTTATGCATCTGTAAAGGGTATTATCGCTTCAGTGTAGCCAAAGTTAGAGTTTTCTGAATTTTAATTCTTTTTTTTTGTGAAGTGTGTTTAACAAATTTTCTTAACATTCATTTGTATTTAATAAATAACAAAAATAATAAGTCGTTGGTGCCGAATCGGTAGCTCTGCACTATGTTCTCAAAACCGAAGGTATAAATTAAAAATTCTGTTGTCAGCTCCGATGTGTTGAAACTCGTCTTTCCTTAATGAATTGTAGTTTTTTATTTGATCTGACTCCATAAACTTCAAAGGGTTCAACTATGGCTTAGAGATTTTATCAATCTTGAAGTACGAATTGAGAATTTGTTTCAAGTAAAGTTGTAAACTTTCAAATGCATAATTTTCCTGCACTCGGTTTTGTCCCATTTCCGCGGATGTGATAAATTAACTTGAATATCAATTTAGGTATATGAAATATCCTTAAATTTATAGAATTAGTTGGGATTGAAATTTTACAAGTTAACTTGGATGTGAGGTGGTCAGTCAAAGCTAGCATGATGTGGGCGTCTTAATATATATAACTGTTGAACTTTCAAATAGCCCTCTGACCACGAAATAGTTTTGTATGAGGGTAATCTTATGGCTCCTCCCAACATCATTTGCTAGTTAATTACTATTTCTTTAAGATTTATTAATAAAAGGTATTGCATTAATGAATGTGAAAATGTTTTTGTAATGATCTCAGAATAATGTACAACATTTTATTATAAAATTGTGAGCAAATACATACAGAGCACGCAATGATAACAAAAACAAAAAATGTATCCTTCCAATTTCACATTAAAGTTTTAAAGCTGCATGAGTCAGAAAACACATATACATGTATACATATATAGAGTATGTTGAAAATAAATCAGTAGAATAAATAAAAATTGAAAATAAAAGAAAATAGACATACCTTAATATCAATTGAATTTTCATTAGCGCTCATTTGTATTATATTTGGAAATCATAACACTCCAACGCTCATTTACCGATATGAAAATTAAAAATATAAACAAAATTAAAGTAAAAACTGTTTATTGGAAATGTGTTGTATATTTATTGGAAAATATATTTATTTAATATTTTACATATAAAATAAATATTTAGCAATGAAATAACCAAAACTAATATTAAATAAAAAATAAAATGTAAATTAACTCGTATATGAAAAGAATATTTAATCTAAAAAACTTTAAAGTTGAAATAAAATATATACTTCATATAATATTTATATGACAATCTTCCATAATTATATCCTTTTTGGACGATTTTTTATTTATTTAAACTGTCAATTTTTAGAAAACTATTATAAAATCACTTTTTCTGGGATCAAGAAAGTAGTTAAGATGTAAAATAAAGCCCCCTTTAGCTATAGAACAACGTTCGAGTTATACGAAAAGGGTTCTCGGACGCTCTGGAACGTTCGGGTGAAACTTCAAATAAGTTTTCTCAAAACTTTGCTTTTTGAACTGAGGATCACTGTAGCTCAAAACCCGCTAGGTAGATTTCTATGCAAATACCAAAAATTAATTCGACTTTTTATAAATAATCAACTGTTGGTTTTCCCCGAAAATTTTCCTAATGCCGCCATTTTGTTAATTAAAAAAAAAAGATTCAATCAGGTACTAGTTCATCTGTTAATAACACAATTGTTTTTTTGTCAGATTGTTTTAGAGGTATCTCCACGGAAGGTCACCACAAGGAGCAGTTCCAACCGATGACTGGATTAACACAAACAGTCATTACTTTTAAAAAAATATACATATATATTTTTTCAAGTTTCTATAAAGTCAAGTCGAAATCTTATTTAATGAGGCTTTTATAAAATAAAATTATTTACTGGCAAAAAAAGTTATTTAAACTTGTAATTTTTTATGCCTCTGACTACTCCTAATCCCTTATAGCAAGAGGGATATAAAAAAAATGTACATACAGTAGTGGCCAGAGCAAAATTACCCACAGAACTTTTCTGGGCGTTAAACACGCAATAATCTTATATCTTATAATACAAATATTGTTAAATATTGTTATATTAAATATTTTCTGGAAAGACACGTCGTCATCCGGTTTATAAAGTTTGCAGTTTAAGAGTGCACCATTATTTCCTTTTTCATGCTTAAGCTCTTTAGCTCTCATTTCTGTCTTATGGTACTGACTTTTATTGTTTCCCTACTGCTTGATAATAGCCCAGTAATTGTTTATCGGCTTAAATACAAAGTTATTTCCAGGTTAACATTAAAGTTGGTATTATATTACGAACCAAATATTTCTGGATCAGCTTTATTCCTAATGAAGAAGAAGGCTTAGAAATTTTTATTGTTATTGTAAGTATGGATAATGTTTTTTGCTACGTTTCCATCATAAATAGTTACCGTAAGACTTGGTACAAAAAGAATTATAAGTCTCCCCCTTTCATGTTGAGAGTCATAGCAAGGCTAATAGTGGATAACTTATCGAATGCACAACATGCATTCATAAAAGGTCCAGTAACTGCCCTTAAATATAGAATTAAGCACGATCATTGAGACCCATGGCGGCATAGACAATATAGTTTGTAGATGGAACAATCGATGCTTATGCACAGAAGTCTCAGCGCCACAAACAATTTACGTAAGCAGCACTCATCTCCGAGGTGTTTTTTCCTCGCTTTAATGAGTGGTGTCACTAAACGAAATACTTCTTCAACTCGACGGAGGAGAAGTGAAAGCACTAGCATATGCAGACGAAATAGTGTTTATGCTATCAGAGCTGTTTCCTTCCATAAACAGTGAAATTAGAAAAAGAGTCTTACGAAGGTTATATTTATGGGCCGTACCTGATACAATTCCCAAGATAATATACACAAAAGGTAATAAAAAAATTATAATAATAATAAAAACATCAATATATGATAATAATAAAAGATTTTAAATAAATATAAAATTATAGTAGGGTTTATATCCATTACACTTCAGTTCATTAACTTCTAAGCAAAAGCATAGTTAGCAATTACTTACTAACTAGTACAGTGATTTAACAAAGTACGAATTATGATGAGAAAATTTTGACTTGCGTGAGTGAGACACAATGAACTGTAAACTTATTTAAACATTTAATAAATATGTATACATATTAAATAGAAAAATTAAATAAACAAATTTCAACTTACTTTGAAATTTCTATTTTTTCTAGGCTTTTTACGCTACATAGATTTACATTTTTAGTAATTATTATTTTTTTGTTGTTGTACAAATAATAACGAAGAAGAATTCATTAATAAAATATAGCATAAATTAATTTTTTATTAAATATACACAAATATGTGTTTTAAGCTAATGTAAATAAATTCGTAAGAAAATTAAGACACGCTCATTTTGGATAATTTACGATACTTAGAAGATATGAATATATTTAGATTAATTCTAGCATGCCATTTTCTGTACCAAGCCTGTCATTTATATAATACCCAGCAGACGACTAAAGAAAACAGTATATATATATAATATAAAGTAGTTATATCAATTAGTTTTCAGTAATAACGGTGAGTTCTCAGCTTAACAGTAAATCAAAACAAAACTGTTCAATTTCATTTACCAAATCGGAAATCTAAGCTAAAAAGCGCTACATATCTTTAACAAATTATAAAATAATAATGGTAAAGTGAAATCATGTAAATTAATATTATTCTTATATTTCTTCAAAGCATATTCGAATTGTTGTTGGCAAATTAGAGCGAGCGATGCGTGATATTTCTGCAACATACCTTCATGATTTTGCACTGAGCAACACCGGTTACAGTTAATGGCACACCCTGTGCCGTCTCGACATTCTCGCACATGGGATTGAGTGTCATCACCTCGAGCGAGAGGCGCTGCACATCTGTCACCAGCCACCAGGCCCATGCCCAACCGCCGACAATGGTGCGCTTTTTGGTCGAACCACAGCAGCCACCTGCGGAAAGAAAATGTGTTAGTGTAAGAATTGTAATTTGTTATCGATAAAATATCGAAAAATTATAATACATTTGGAAAAATAAGATGAAAAATTTTAAAAATTAGCATCGCGATTTATCACTTATTTTTCTCCAGAAACAAGTATTCATAGAAAAAAACCAATTATAATGAATTCTGAAATAATTAATGACAAAATTAATCGATAAATATGACCATTTATAGTTTATTTTTCAATAAAGTAATATAATACTTATTGGAAAAAACATATTACGAAATTTATCGATTATTTTTAAAATGGTGTTGATTTTTGCTTTTATTATGAAATCATTATCATATATTGTATATACCATATCTTTTCTAATCTCTCAACAAGTACCACAGTTTTAATTACACACATCTCACTCCCATGTATTTTTTGATTACTATAAAACTATATGGTATTCTACTGATATTCAGATATGCTCTATATTTCGCTTTGACACAAAAACGAAGTGATTCGGTCAGCAAAAAGCCTGTTCCAGAAATCGAATAATTTTTTTAAATGATTTCAAGATTTCGCTAAAGGATTTAGTAAGGAGACAAAATACGGATTCAAAGTTGTGAACGTAACTGCGATACTGTAGTAATAATCTGACATGCGTGCCATCACTACAACCAACAACTGCAAGTATACCAAATTTTTCCAAAAAATGCTGCTTAGTTTTGGTAATATCATAGCCATATATTCCCAATTCACTCCTAATACAATCAGCGCTCTGAAACCTCTGTTAATGAACTAAGTACTTTCGACAAGGTGTTTCACTGTTGCAAAAAAATTGGAATCCTTGATGCCTTACTATGTGCTGTTACGTTCACGATAATATGATACAAAGCTTCTACAGGAACATGCCTGATTATAAGTGAAACGCCACTAATTTGGGTGAAACATAAGTTCACATGGTTTAATCAATATCGTAAAATGTTATGAAGCCCTCTTTAAAGTGTATAACCGGGTCTTACCACGTCTACTTATCATATTTCTCACGAAATGCCTATAAAAGAATATACAGAAATAGTTATTGTTCAGAATGATTCTAATACGGAAAATATTTTGCTGTCTTTAGCTAAAATTAATACGATATCTGGAATTTACTGCACTATATCGGAAAAAAATCGTTAATTTTAAAAAATTAAAATGATTTATCGGCTAATATATGGTTAATTTTATTGGTAAATATATTTTGTCGTCTTAAATTTATTTTACAAATCGTAAATAAGAATCGATCGATTCGATTACTTCGATTATGCGATCACGAATTCTTTTATCAGTTATAATATTTTGTCGTCTTTAAATATAATTAGTATGACATGTACTTCACTATATCGAACAAAATTCACGATATCTGAATGTGATGGGTTGCAAATAGTTTATTAAAAATATAATTGAATAAATATTTGAATTAAATTATCTTTATTTTGTAATCCCAAATATTTTGTACTGTATTAACCGGATTAAAATTTTAATCACATCATCTTGGATTAAAAAATAAATTTTAATTTTTTAATTCCGATATTAGAATAAAAAATCAGACATTTAAATTTAATTTAATAAAAGTTTTATTAAATCATTATTATTTTTAATTTAAAAAAATCTAATTTTTGATCCAAAATTTTAGAATTCAAAAATTCGCTATAATTCAATTTCTAAGAGCACAATTCGCATGAGAGAGTATGATAGTCACTTACTACGAATGCGAGCACTTGTCGGCACTCATAAAAGTTTTCAACTATCGACACTTGACAATTGTAAGCCAAATGTCATGACCAAGCAGACGTTCAACAATAATGGACAATGAAAATAGAAATGGATATGAAAGAACGTGATTATGATTGATGGAGAAAGCAATGAAAAGCGGAAAGCCAAACTTGTGGCATTTCGCACACGACCTGCAAACATACGTGTGCGCCATCACATCGAGTAAAAACGTTGTAAATTGTGAAAGATTTGATATGAAGGCAAATGTGTTAAAATTTATAACGAAGGAAGGGAGTAAGGGAAGCAAACAAATGGCTGTTACGAGTAGGCTCACAAATGATTGGACAATTGCTGACATGATTTGATTTCAGACTAGATAATTAAATAATTTGAGCGAATGACAGCTTTTCTAACAATACTTCAAAGCTGGACAAGCGCTTAAATAAATTAACCAAAAGTGAGAAAGAGAGACCTCGGAAGAGGTGCATACAGCTAAAGAGTGACTTATTTGCTGCTCATTTCGCCTCTAAGATCGCCTTTATTTGGTTGTTATGTACTTATGTTGTTAAGAAAGAATGTGTAAAGAGAAATTGGAAAGAAAAGGTAGCTTTGGCAATGAAGGTATGAACTTAGCGAACGTACTAACAGTCGTCGCGCATGCGTCAAGCGGCCTAGAAACACTTGTGTTGAATTGTGAATGCTCGAAGCGAATAGCGTAGTGCAACGAATGCGCAGCAGAAAAGAAAGTGCATAAGATATGTGGTGGCTTTGTTAAATACGAACAGAAATAAAAATCAAGTGATTTAATAAATTTATTTCGCATAAGTTTATTTGTGCCAACAAAGTGAGGTGAAGATTATACCAGCTCTGTGATTTGAAGTGCTATTTATACGTGTGTGAATATTAGTGCGACGTTGCTGGAAGCAGCACACAACTAGAATTATTCACTGCAGCAGAAAACTTTTGAAACGGTTCAACGAACGAAAAGATCGGAAGTGTAAGTACCTGTCTACTGTAGTTGTGGCAAAATAAAAACAAAAAGTGTGAAGAATCTACAATATAGAAACTCAGACCCCCTCTGTTTAATAATGTTTCCAAAAGTCCTAAAATTTTTAGCAGAAATGTTGTGTTTTTAGGGTTAGTATCGTGTACTTAGTCTTGCCATTATTCTGTTACAAAGTTTATAATACAAAGAACGCAAACAAATACGCACAAAAAAGTGCCGTTATTTTTTTTTAAAATTTTTATGCAGAGTCTAATCATATACGAGTCTTTAATAGTATAATCTGTCAACTGGTTCTAAACACGAAATATTTATAATTTTGTTAGCCCAAAAAAAACTTTCGCGAACGCATTCGCAGATATCCTCTTAGCAAATAGAAAATTATGTTAAGGGAAATGAATATATCGACCAGATTAATGTGAAGACTTATTTGAAATGATCTCCACATGAAAGCCTACCATCGGTCAACTGGTCATCTTCTGACAACGCGCTTGAAACAATTTAGGCTCAACAGATGCAAACGGCTTCTTCAGTGGCACACGGTCAATGACCATGAAATTATTCTTTTTACAAATAAAAAAATGTTTACTGTTGAAGAAGTTTTTAATAAGAAAGATGACAAAATCTTCGCAAGAACTTCTAAAGACGCAAACAATTTTATTTCAAGGGTTCAACGGTGTCATCAACCAGCTGTTTTAATGCTTTGGTGGACAGTCTCCTGTAAAGGCGTTACACTTCTTCACTTCTGTGAAAAAGAAGTTAAAACTGTTACAAAAGTGTATCAGTAGGATGTTTTAGAAGTCGTGGTAAAGCAGTTAAGCAATAATTTCTTCGATGGAGAGCATTGAATCTTCCAGAAAGATTCTCCTCCAGCCCTCAAGGCAAAAAGGTTTCATAGCTTCAAATGATTGACCGTTTGGAAGTCCAGATTTGAATCTATTGGACAGTTTGTGGTCGGAGTTGGAGAACATGGCGCATCGAATACCCCACATAATGTGGAGAGTCTCAAAAAATCTTTGGTTATGAGCAATATTTCTCTTAGAACTAATTCTAGTAAGCTGTTTTTACTCAGTCCTTAGTATATTTTTTTAAAAATCAGCATATAGTGGCATAGTAAGCGTTAGTGAAATGAAATCGATCTTGGATACAGACCGATTTTAACACCCTCTACCAGAAGGAAACGTCGGAGACCCTATAAAATAATTACAAAAATGATCGGCATGATGAGCTGAGTTGACTTAGCCATGTCCGTCCGTCTGTCTGTCTCTATAAACACGAACTAGTCCCTCAGTTTTTAAGCTATCGTTCTGAAATTTCGCACCTTTCCTTTCCTCACTAAGATGCTGCTCATTTGTCGGAACGGATATCGGACCACAATAGCATATAGCTGCCAGACCAAATGAACAATCGGAATCAAGTGCTTGTAAAAGAAACTTTTTTATTTGACGTAATATCTTCACAAAATTTGGCGATAAGACAACAATGTAATCTCTGAAGAAATTGTTCAGATCAGATCACTATAACATATAGCTGCTATATAAATTGAACAATCGGAATCAAGTTCTTGTAAGGAACCTTTGTATTTTTTCTTGTCTACGGTTACTTTTGACTTTTTTGAAAGTATGTATATAGCTATAGATTCGGTAAAAAGTTTCAAAGTCAGTAATTCTTTCATTCTGTCGCTTTCCTAGAAGTTTACAACAAATCTTCGATCTTCGTCTTAATTTTATCTCAGCTATATTTGGTTCATATGCAAACCTGTATAGCAAAGCCATTGAACTAATTTGTTATAACAAAATTATAGTATTGGATAAGTTACCGATTATTTCTCCAAACTAGCACAAAACTTATTAATAGAAGCAAAGTAGACTCAAGCTGGCACTAACATTCCTATTAAGACTTTCGACAAGGCTGTGGTTTCCTTATGCATTTTTATTAAATATCAACTGATTTGCATAAACGTTTAAAAAAAGGAAGCCACTGCAATTAACCTGTTTTTGCAATGCCTTTCACCCGTTTTCCGTTTAAAATTCTTAAAGTGGCATCAATTTTTGAATTACATATACTACTTATGCTTTTATTGTAAAAATGTGGCAAGTCAGAGCGTTAATTGGGTCGCAATAGCCATTGATGGACAAAGTTTATAATAAAAAACGTTAATTTACAGTTAGTACACAGTGGGGGAGATGGGGCCTTGAACTTGACTCGCAACTTATTTGTTGTAGCTGCTCTGTAGCGTAGTCGATATTCGCATGGCAGCTGGTTGGTTGGTTATTGTGTGCAATCGAGATAATCCAATAATAGTACGTTGCACATGCAAAGCAAAACAGAAGCAGCGATAAAAACAAAACACGAGTTAAGAAATAAGAGTTGAAATGTGTGGAAACCAGTTATTTTATTTGTTTTTGCTTGTGCTGCAAGCGGTGGCTGTCTATTTTGCAACAAAGTAAAACGTCAAAAGCAAATAGAATTGACAGCAGGGTACGAAAGGTATAGAAAGGCAAAGAAATTAATAATAAAATAAAGAGAAAATAGAGAGATTGCAATGTTGCACATTGTATGCAATTACTTAAGCAACTAAGTACATATGCGCATATGTATGTGCATATATACAGCTGTTCAAGAATATGTACAAACCTAGACACATACCACCACACTTAAAAGCTCTTACGGTTGCATCAACGAATGTGTTAATTGTTTTTGTTGCTCGACAGTTTTATTCATTCGTCGAAATTGCGCTAAATTTCACTTTCAAATATTGATTCTCTTACATACGAGTAGAGGTATGTATGTTTATATGCATGCACAATAGGGGCATGACACTCAGCATAACTATTTTTTTATTACCACAAAATAAATTTTATAAACTCATTGCGCTTAAGCAAAGATCTTGGAAACTAATCACAGAACGATAATGAGTTATATAATAATAGTTACTTTATAACGTTTTGATGTGTTGAATAGTTTTATAATAATAGCTATTTTATAACGTTTTGATGTGTTGAATATTTTGAACAAAATTATTGCTAATTTCGAAGATTTTTTTTTTATAGCGATATGTTTAAACTCTGGTGCAAATCTTCTACAAATATGACATTTTTAGATTTCGAAAATAACTGAATATATTAAAATTTTGTTATTTGTTTATATTTTTACTTCAAAATCGATCAAAAATCAATTTCATACAAAAAAACATCCCATAAAAACTAAATTTGAGTAATTAGTTAGTTTTTGATTTTATAGAAAAAGAAAACTGTAATATTTTTAAATTTTTTGGCAATTACTACATTGCAATTAAACTTGTCAACCTATTCCTATCATAATGATCCAATTTCATGATGTTTCAAAGTCTTACCAACTTGTGCGCAGGTATATTTTATATAGGTTACATATGGGGTTGCAAATAATGCTTTAAAGAAATAATTGAATTAACATTTAAATTAAACTTTTGCTTGCAATCTTAAATACTGGGTTGAAAAAAAACATTTAGTTACACAAATCGGATTAAAATTTTATTTTTTTATGATGATGTTGAAAATCTTATCTAAAATATTGTGATTTCGTTTCACATCTTTTAATTTTATATTATATTCATCTTGAAGAACTTCGCCTTAAATATCTCTGGCTCGAAAGCGGTTTTATACCCATATTTTCTTAGGCAAAATTGCTCAGAATGAACCCTAGAATATTTTGTATGTAATACTTGCAAGGCTAAGCTAGAGTCTAGGTGTATTATAACGTATTATGTATTATACATATATTATATAAATACTTATGTACATACATATATAATTGTTTCAGATTTTAAAATTTCTTATTATAGATATTTATAATAAAATCTTGCATTTGTAATATGCATTCTTCAGTTTTTTCTAAGCAATTTAAAAGTCATGCCCCTAATTTTCATATAATACATATACAAGTTTGTAAAACTCTGTGGTATGTGCGAGTGCAAGTGTAACGTAACAAATCTTTATGCATCATTTGTTTGGGTGCATTGTCCGCCAGATAAACGGAAGTATTTGTAGTAATTACATAATTATGATTGAGGTAAAATTTTATTTTAACGGGAAAAATTTTGTCGATTAAAGAAAAAATATTTTTGTTTATTATTTAATTATATGGTAGAAGATATAAGCTTGCTCTAAAATTGTCTATATTTAATTATATTTAGTTTACGCAGTTTATAACAGCCAGAAGGAAAAGTCGGAGACTATAAAATATAGTGTACGATCAGCGTGACGAGTTGAGTTGATTTAGCAGTGCCAATCTGTCTGTATACTTGTATATTATACGCGAAATTTTGCACCCGTCCTTTTCTCACCAAAAAGCTGCTCTTTTGTCAGAACCGCCGATATCGGATCACTTAAGCATATAGCTGCCATACAAACTGACCTATCAAAATTAAGTTTTTATATGAAGAACTTTTTTACTTGACAAGATATCTTCACGAAAATTAACATGAATTGTTGCGCAAGGCAACGCTACAATTTCTGAAGAAATTTTTCAGATCAAACTAGTATATTATATTATATAGCTGTCATATAAATTGCACGATCAAAATCAAGGTAATGTATGCGAAAGTAACGTGTTTTCTTGTTTTTATTTAACTTTTCGTTTTAAAGCTACTGAGTTCTTACATATTACCAATAGGTGTCATGACTCTACTTTGATTTGATTCTTTGAAGCAAAGCCTTTTTGGGACGTTATATATTTGCATTCAATTAACCCATTTTCAGATATTTTTCTTTGTTTGCATTCGTTTTTATTTGCGCTTAAAATTTTTTGTTGTCTTTTCGAACACTTCTACGTTACATATTTACTTTTTACTGTTTTCGTCTTCAACTACTTCCTTTGATACACTATTGAAAAGTGAAACTGAAGTGATACACTCATGAATACAAACTGTAGGTGTATTCACCCACACACTTTCTTATAATATGTGTCAGATGGAGAATGGAGGAGTATTCAAAGAATTGGCAAAACTAAACCAA